AAACATATTATGCTTCAAAATTCCAGTAACATAGTATCACACTTAAAACCAATTTACCATAAATGCATTTCTTGTACAAAAAGGATGAAAATGTTTTTCTGTGTATACAATCCATTAGGATCACGAATGCCGAAGACTTCTCAATTTTGTGGGGCCAATACCAAAGACTTTTGGAGAGACTCCATTTTTCAATCTATCAATGGAAAACCGAGTCGTTGACGATCTTTCCGTGCAAAGACTTGCAAGGATGAAATTTATTGCGAATTAGTATGTTGTTTCATGTCGTTATTGATCAAGACTTCTTGACTTGACTTTAGAAGGTAGAATAGTAAATCTGGAGTTTTTAACACTTGGCCACAAATCTTGGAGTTCTCCAAACTGGATAAGGATTGTCTGCCCTTTCATTTTCGGTGCTCTCCTGTGTTTTTCTATTTGTGTGGTCATGGTTAAATCATATCAACATTTTAATTACTATTAATTTTTGTCTTATTATCTCTATAAAACAACAATATAAAATATTAATATGGCTTAACCGTGACCACACAAAACAATATAAAATATTAACGTGGCTTAACCGTGACCACACAAAATAGGAGGGTACGAAAAGGCATCAGAAGTGGGAGGGTAGACAATCCTTGTTCCTCCAAACCATTGATCTTCATTTCTAATGGACTTGTACTATATGTTACAGAACATGATTTGTAAGACATATTCTGAAATCACAACAACAAGACATTATGATCACGAATAAATCAAATCAATATGAAATAAAGACCGACTAATTATATTGAACTTATTTGTAGAATTCGGAAGACATGGTTATGAAGGTGAAGCCATTGATCCTTGCGAACAAAGTAGAAGTAGTCTTCTACTTCCAGTATCTATGAATGAACTCTACTATCGAAATAGGCTTATAGTTTTCGTGAGTTTCTTTCGGTATGGAAGTAGGGACGGCTCCTAGGTTATATAGCTAGGGTTTCAATCAATTCCTCCCTATTATCAGAAAGGATATCAACCCAAATCATATCTCATCAATTATAGTCTCATCATGACTCTTATTCTTTGTATTTACTTAATAAAGGCCCTTAATTGATTGCATGTAATTAGGACTCCAATATGTTTATTTCCTCAAGGCACCGAGAGTCCTAGAGATTTCATTAACTTGATTGCCAAGTCAACTATTCCCTCAATTATTCTCGGCATAATTCATTGTCATTCACAAAATGGTTTTACATGATTCATACCATCAAATATCAGATGGAACCAGTCAATTTGATTTATTTATATATTTATATGTACGATTGACATTGGGACGAGTGGAATGAATCATGAATCTCAAATGCAATGTTCTTAACTACTTTAGTTACAATCGGTTAATCAAACTGCTTTGTACTGATGTTTACTTCTTACACATTCTTGTTAATTTTTTGTTCATTGATTTTCTTTCATTCACATGATCTGAAGGTCGAAAATTAAGAATGAGGTGTGACAGATAAAAATGGGTATATGGATAGCAAATAATCCATATATTTGTATTTAATATATATATATATATATATATTGTACATTTGAGAATGAATGAATAGTAGAATTGAGCCAAATACGTTTTTCTACAGTTTTCCTATGGTTGGGACCTCAACTCCAGGTGGAAGTATCTCTCTTCCTTGCTTTCTCTTGAGTTAATGAGATATTTATTTTCTGATGACAGGGCTTGCAGTTTGAAAAATACAACATAGACCAAATCCAACATGCAAAATTTCGTTACACCCGCACTCTTGACTTAATATATGCTGGGAGCTTCAAATCCATCCCACTTCAAGCCAATGCAGGAATTGAATCTGATGACTCTAATGCCTTAATTTGCTGCTGAGAATTCAAAACTTTCATCCCCCTTACTATCTACTGGTAACCTGTAAAAGGATCGAGTTTATTGGATTTCGGTCAAGTTTTATCTGACCCTTTAAGCTAATTAGTCACTCAAACTCAACTTGTTAAGCTCATGAATCACCCATTAACATTTTTTTTCTTTTGATTAATTTTGCATGCCAATAAAAAATTACACATATTTGAATCAAGATTTTAAGCATAAAGGTCCAACACATTTAGAAGTATCCAAATGCAAAGTTACTCATGTATCTTACCATGCAATGTCGATATTATCCTAATATTTCCATTGAAATTTCCGTGTTTTTGGACTATCGATATTTCCGATATCATCGATATTTTTAGACTTTGATAGGAACTCTATGTGATACTAAGTCACTCATGTATCTTACCATGCAATGTATAAAGTGTAAAATATTGTACTAATTCATTATATATAAATGATTATAGTGTGTTTAAACTTCTTTCATTAATTACTACATATTTTCTATACTTACAATGTTTGCCAGCTCGCTATATAATCAACTTAAATAAGTTAAATCCATCTTACAATGCATTTCCTTCCAATTTTTGTGATAAACTAATAGATAATTGACTAAATAAACATCCTGCAAAGTTTCAATAAAAAAAAAATTCTTACAATTTCCGTGGTTTTTAATCAATTTTTATCGATATCATAATATCCCGATATTTCCATCGAAATTTCCGTATTTTGAACTACTGATATTTCCGATATCATCGATATTTTAAACCTTGCTAGGGACATATGTAGTTGGAGGAGGTTCCCCCACGGTCGGGGCCTCAGCTCCAAGTCGAAGTATTCTCTCTTCCTTGCTTTCCCTTTAATGAGTTAATGAGATATTTCTTTTCTGATGAGAAAAGAACTTGCAGTTTGAAAAAACCAACATAGACCAAGACCAAGAACAGTATATACTCCACCGGTCGAATTAAAACCTAATTATTATTAATGGTTCTTGCAAGTTGCAAGAACATGACAACAATGATTGATTGATATTTGGTTCCATTCATTATTTGTTCATAAGAACACTTTATATTAGGTAAGAAAACCGAGTTTTGAAGGAGGAATTATAAGAACATTTTATCGTATAAAATTTTACAAGTGATGAATTGACATGATTGATAAACTTTTTCTGTTTAATTTACCATGCACCGAATTTAAACAGTACCTACTCTTCCTTAATTATAGATTAGAATAGCAATATTGACAGTAATTAAATGTTATTCGGAAAAAGAAAAAGGAAGAATAAATCTAAGAAACAACATTTTTCAACAATAAATAGTGAGTGGGTTTAAGGAAATGGCGCGTGCTATCTTTTGAGTACTACTTAGGGGTGGTTCGGTATGGGATACCATACCGAAACTAGTATCTCGAATCCTAAACTGAAATTTTTTGGAACGAGAATTTGAAGACCAATTCCAAACCAAATTATTTTCGGGATTTCGGGACAAATCGGGAATCCCAAATTAAAATATGAAATTATGAATTGTTGTTCAAATATATAATTCAAGAACACATTTATGAACTAGGAATGTCATTTCATACACACTACCATTTAATCTAAAACTAGCATGTCTGACTGTTTTCATCAGAGTCAAAATTCAAATTAATTAAACCATTTTTGCAATCTGTTGAGAGACAAAAAAATCAAGCCTTCTGAAATCATTAGCTATGACAGCAGCAATAATAAAATCCAAATGAATATCAAACAGAACATGAAAAATATGCAAGGTGTAGGGTGTAACATCCCACATCGCCTAGAGGAGTGATTCTTAAATATATATTCTCATCCATATCTAGCACGAGGCCTTTTGGGAGCTCACTGACTTTGGGTTTTGTAGGAACTCCAAAGTTAAGCGAGAAGGAGGCCAGAGCACTCCCAAGATGGGTGACCCACTGGGAAGTTGCTCGTGAGTTCCCAAAAACAAAATCGTGATGGAATGGTAAGCCCAAAGCGGATAATATCGTGCTACGGTGGTGGACCCTGACCGGGATGTGACATAGGGCATTCCAGGTTGCGGAGCATGAATTAGAAACTATTAGCATCAATTATAAAAGAATAATATATATATATATATATATATTATATGTATAAATATATATATAATAATTAATATTATATATTTTTGGTTCGGTATGGGATTTCCAAAATATCAAGAAGCCAATCCCGAATCCCGTACCAAAATTTCGGAATCGGTTCGGGTTAGCATCCCAAAAATTTCGGGAATTTCGGTTTGGGAAATTTTTGGTTTGGGATCGGAATTTTTTCGGTTCGGTTCGGTTCGGGATTTTCGGGAATTTTTTTCCACCCCTAGTACTACTCAGTCATTCTACATATATATATATATATATATATATATATATATATATATATATATTAAATGATATTATCTACACTAAGGGGTGGATGTGGATTAAGCCTCATAAAATGCTAGCAATAATGTGATTCAAATTCGTCTTTGACGAGAATCGAACCTAAGACCTCTCACTTATAAGTGAAGAGAAATACTACTAGACCGTAGTACTAAGTGACACATATATTATTCTTTTAAATCCTTCTGTTTCACATGATCTTAAGATTAGTTTCCTATTATTCAGGTTGGTTTGCGATTGCTCTCATGTTTGTTAAGAATTGTATCTTTATAAATACACCATGTAACTTGGCTGAAGTTAAGCTCATTTGGATGTGCTTTTAAAATGACTGAAACCGTTTATATAGGGAAAATGTTTTTGAACAAATCCTTAGTAAAAATGTAAGTATGGAAAAGCACTTCAAGTGCTTTTGGAACACAAAAATATTTTCTCTAAAAACGTTTTCAATCATTTTAAAAACACATCCAAACGAACCTTACTCTTTTTGCCTTACGTAGCCATCTTGGCAAAGTTTGTGATTGGTTTGTAATTCTTTCTCTCATCAAGTCAAGACTTGTTTCTTGTATGGTGCTGCTGATTTTTCTAACTTCTGATTTTTCTCATCAATTAGTCAAGGCATCATATCAACTTGTCCCCGCTACACCCGTCTCTATCACTTTTCAGAAATTATATTGTGGAAAATTTTATACTGATCGATGCCAGTCTATAAATTGTTGTATATCACTCTGCACTTTCATCATACACAGCTAAGATCGTGCAAAAAAAAAAAAATTCAAAGGATTGTGGTTATGGGGTTACTTGACATCTCCATCATTCGCATGGTTTCAAAACTAGTACTAGTTTTGTTGCTGTTTCATCATGTGGTTATTGCTAACTCTTCGTACTCTTCGCAGAAGCAGTATCCCTCTTGCCCTGATGAGGAGAAGTCCGCCCTGCTGCAATTCAAAGACGGCTTTCTTATTGACAAATCTGCTTCTAGCGATGGTTATCCAAAGGTTTCATCATGGAAACCAGCTGAAGGAGAAAACAGCACGTGCTGCTCATGGGAAGGTGTCAAGTGTGACGAGAGACAGGTCATGTGATTGCCCTAGATCTTGGTAGCAGTTGTCTCTACGGCTCTATCAACAGCAATAGCAGCCTCTTCCGCCTCGTTCATCTTCAAAGGTTAAATCTCTCTGATAATAACTTCAATCACTCTCAAATTCCTACTAGCATTAGGAATTTTCCAAGCCTTACTCATCTTGACCTCTCTTTCTCTGTCTTTTCTGGTCAAGTTCCTTCAGAAGTTTCACTGTTATCCAAGTTGACATACCTTGATCTATCTGGCAATGTAGATCCTTTGTCAGAAGATGAGGATCGTCCCTTGTTGAAACTTGAGGCATCAGATCTTGGAAGCCTGGTTCATAACTTAACTAGTCTCGAGGTACTTTCTCTCAGTTTCGTAAACATATCTTCGGCAATTCCTCATTCAATGGCTAACTTATCATCTTTGAAAACCCTAGCCCTCGTGGAATGTCACCTGTTTGGTGAATTTCCGGTGAGAATTTTCCAGCTACCAAACCTAGAAATTCTTACTGTGAGATACAACCAAGATCTGACTGGATATTTTCCTGAATTTAATCGAAGTAGTCCTCTCATGCTTCTGAAAGTTTCATTTACCAGTTTTTTCGGAAACGTACCCTCTTCGATTGGAAACCTTGATTCACTGCAAAAGTTGGATGTGGCTCAATGCAATTTTTCGGAAGGGTTGGTTCCATCTTCACTTGGGAATCTTAGGAAGCTCACTTATCTAGACATTTCAGCCAACAAATTTGGAGGTCCAATTCCTGATTCCTTCTCAAACCTTACCCAACTGGTTACTTTTAGGATTAGTACGAGTCGATTAACTGGTCCAATCCCATCTTGGTTAGGAAACTTTAGCAAACTAGAGTACCTAGATTTTAATTATAATAGATTAAATGGTTCAGTTCCCTTGTCATTTTCAAATCTCACAAACCTTCAGATCCTTTACCTAGCATCGAATAGTCTGAGTGGTGTAGTGGAGTTTCAAATGTTTCAAAATCTAAAATTTCTTTCCCAACTCACATTCAATTGGAACAGTTTAGAATTTGTCACTGAATCCAGAATTGTGAATTCAACAGTTCAACAATTCACCATTCTTGGATTGAGTTCTTGCAACATAAGTGAGTTTCCATCCTTCTTACAATATCAAAAGGGGTTGACGCGTTTCGACATTGCTGCAAACAAAATCCAGGGCCAAGTACCAAAATGGATGTGGAACACAAGCATAGAAACTTTGGTATTCTTAGACATGAGTCAAAACTTCATTTCAGACCAACTTCCACCTGTCCTTCCTTGGGTGAACATGGTATGCTTCAAGTTTTCGTCCAACAGGTTTCATGGATCACTACCGATAGCTCCACCAACCATGCTAGAATATACAGCTACAGACAACAACCTTACTGGAGAAATCTCACCCTTGCTTTGCAATATGAAAAATCTTCAGTTGCTTGACTTGTCGAAAAATAAGTTGAGTGGCATGCTTCCTCAATGTCTCGGAAACTTTAGTGATGATCTGATTCTTTTACTTCTTGGAAACAACTCCTTTCATGGAGTTATTCCTCAGACATACAACAACGGAAACAGTTTGAGGATGATTGACGTGAGTCATAACAAATTGCAGGGGCAATTGCCGAGGTCATTGGTCAATTGTGTGAGGCTTGAGTATCTTGTTTTGTCAAACAATCAATTCAATGATGTTTTTCCCATTTGGTTGGGGACTCTTCTAGAGTTAAAACTTTTGGCAATGCGCCATAATGGATTCTACGGTGTGATTCGAAAATCTAGAATGAATGTCGATTTCCCCAAGTTACGCATTCTTGATTTGTCTTACAATAATTTTACTGGCGCGGTTCCATCTATCTTTCCAGATATTATTATAAACAAGTCAGCCTATATGTATACAGACGTAGTTTATGATGTCAGCGGGATCACGATTGATAGAAGAGGTGATTACGCACTCACAATAGCAACGAAAGGTTTGGAGCAATACTATCCAAAGATTCGAGAAGAATTTGCATCCTTTGATATATCAAGCAACAAATTTGAAGGAAAGATTCCAGAATTCATCGGGAATCTTAAGGAGCTTCATTCTCTGAATCTTTCCCACAACAGTCTCACTGGTTCTATCCCATCATCCTTTGGAAACTTGATGAACCTTGAATCGTTGGACCTTTCGCAAAACATGCTCTCAGGACAGATCCCCCCACAACTAAAGCAACTTACTTTTCTTGGCAGTTTCAATGTGTCTCACAACAATCTCACAGGTCCTATACCACAAGGAACCCAGCTTACTTCATTGAATATCACTTCATATGAGGGAAACCCAGGGTTGTGTGGAGATCCATTGCCAAAGAAATGTGGAAATTCTACGGCCCCTCAACGTCCACCTTCAACCGTAGACGAAGGTGATTCTAGCTCAGCAGGAATATTTGAATTTGGTTGGAAAATTGTTTCGGCCGGATGTGGAAGTGGGTTGGTCGTGGGGTTAGTTCTTGCTGATGTTGTGATCACAAGGAGGCCCGACTTGTTTCTTAAGATTGTTGGAATGATCAGACAAATGATATATAAGGAAAATTTAGAGTACTAGTGGGGGCGTAGAAATTGAGTTTGTTACAATGTTATGCATTTGTTGTTGTTGTTTGTTTTCTCTGTTGTGGTTTCTTTCCTTCTCTTTTTATATGTTTAGTTATAAGTTTGTTTCACGTTATGTATTTGTGTTTGTGTTTAAAATATTGAGGGGTAAGGTTTATGTCCCCCCCTGACTAGGTGTAACTTTTTTTTTCTATTCAATAAAATTTTCCCTCGCCGTCGAGGTTTCTTTAAAAAGAAAGAATGTATTTGTTCTTTTTAGCTTTTAGTTGATTGTGTTGTCGAAGTTCAAGACTATACTCTATATATCGTACTGTTTAACGTTATAATAATGTTTGTTCGTACCGTAGAGTTTTTTTAACCAAAAAAAATGGAGATGAAAGTAATGTAAATAAAGATAGTAGAGTGCTGCATGTTGTCATGGATTTGGATATTCTGAAATTAGAATGAAAGCAGCTATGTTCATTTAAAAGGATTCTTATTCATTCGATTAATTGGAGACACTTTTTTCAATCAAATGAAATCGAAACTTTCCTATGCCTCAGTAACTAAGAATACTTGTACAACAATTAGATATTTAAGAGTAATGTGTATAGCAAGAGTTGTCTAAAATTCTAAAACCAGAGCTACGAAATTTGTACAACATTTCGTTCCAATCATCGGAGCGAATGAATGAGAATCGTAGACTACAAGGGAACTGGTTTTGTAGGAACTGCCTGTAAACTGAATATTAACATCCATCAGTTGTGCAATAGGCAACAAATGCAAAAGGGCTGGCGGACTTGAAGCGCAGAAACATAAAACATCAATGTCGTCTATTAAATATCTATCTTATAAATTCTCCTCATAGTTTCTGTTGAAATATTTCACATCAACCGTATTTAACATAGTTGACTGGCTCGGCGTCTCGGTTGACTTTTCGTTGACATTTTACGAAAAATTTTCGGGACCCTTCTTAGCGTATTTCGTCGCCCTGATTCCAAATTCACACTTCGTTTTCTCAAATTTAATCGTTTTAATTGAGTTTAACTAATGGGTCCCAATATAATGCTTAGGTGCGATTACTAGCGGAGACTCCGGCTTCTCTGTTCGAACAACTACGACTTCACAAGTATCTGTTAGTGGGTCTGTTCTTTTATATAATATATGTATTTGTTTATTTTCCATATATACATCTAATAACGAAGTTTCTATGTGATTTCCATAATTAAATTAACGTTTATAAGAAATGTCGTAATGTTGAGAATTAGGAAATCATTATGTAAAGTTATGTGTACTATTTCGGGATGCTTTAATTATATTTGCAGTCATGAATAACATTATGTTGACTAGTATTATCGAATCACTATGGCATGATTATATTTATGTTATCTGCTCATCGTGTGCTACATCGATGTTAGTACATGCCCAAGGCCAGGGACAATCTTTCACGTGTATGTTCACATCACACGGTACGCTCACTTTGGATCCATTGTAGCTGCCAGTCCTATCCTAGATTGCTATAGGCAATTAGGACTCATATGTGATGCGCATAGCGCAGGTTTTCACGTGATTGTAGTACTAGAACGTAAATCATTATTACATCTAGTCCTATTCATGTTATAATACCTCTGCATGAACTCGTGTGTTAGCATATGTCAATGAGCACTCGATATGGTACTTTTGTTTATGCGAGATTATGTGATTACCGGACGTTAGATGTTTATTATAGAAATATTGTGACTTATTGAATTTTTGAGATATTGCAGGCTACGGTAAGTATTTTCATACTATACGTAGTATGTATATTTTAGAAACTATACTTGTTTTACAGTAAGGGGTTGTTATGTTTTCGAAAAAGTTTTTACAAAGCTTTATTTTTAAGCCCACTCACCTTTGTTTTTCGCCCCTCCAAGTTTTAATAGCTGAGCTTTCATGTCGACGAGGATTCTTGGCAAATTTTGGTATAGGTGATTACCTTTACTATCCTACCTCTACTGCACTTTACTTGTGCTCTGCATCACGTGTGAATTGGGTTCAATTCTGCTCACATGCGCACTCTTATATTTAGGCACTTTTAGGTTTAAATTTATTCACTTTTAGGTTTAAATTAGCACTATCCACTGCTCATTTTGCTAAATGAAACACCTCGAATCTATTCATTTCAAGTAAGTAAAAATCTAGAACAGGGAGATGGAGATATCGGACATTGAAAAGTGATTAAATTTCCATCTTAACAATCGATTTAACCTATATACACCTACAGGTATCAAACTCGATCTTAGATAAAAATAAAGTTGTTGATGAGATAACTGATTCCTGGTGTGAGTCATCACTTCTACTTTTTATGGCAATGATTACTTAAGTTCTCATGCATACTCGATTGATCAATACTATCGATAATATACCCATAATTTCAGAAGGGTCATTACTAAACATCTACTAATCCGTAGTTACCTGTAGTTTGATAACTGGAAGCCTTAGGCTTAACAAATTTGTAGATGTTTAGTAATGACCCTCCTGAAGCTCTTTATCAACTATGCATGTGAAGTTAAGAAAGGCATGAAGAAACTGGAGTCAAGACAAAATTAATTTTAATTTAAGAATTAAACAATGAACCTTGAATTAGTACACTTGGTGATATGGATTCCATGTTCCATCAAGACCACTTTGAACAAATGCGAGATTTTGACATGGATTCTTCGTTCCCATTCTCACTTTTGGCTTGGCATCTATTGCTTTGTTTAACATGTAACATTATATGTATTAATATAACATGTATATAAACAGATAGGTAACACATTGCATTGTGTGTGTATAATGTAATCTTTTTCTTATACCAAAAAATAGTTGGCAAAGGACACATTCAACCTGCAGATATAAGTTTTATTCAAGTTTATACAAAATTCATATAACATTTCCAAGTAAATTCATATAGAATTCATTTAAAAATAAACAAAAATTTTAGCAAGTTGGGCTAAAATACTGCAATTCCTCAAAGTCGAAAAAGTGGGGAAAAAAGGTAGTCAGCTTAGCATGATATACAAATTTTCAAGCTTTGAATTGCCTTGTTCGCAAATCACTATTCTGTTATGTATATAACCATTGAACTTATTATTTGAATCCAAAGAAGAAAAGTCAGGAAGACATTCACAAAACCAAATCAAACGCACCAAATATCACATCAAAGAATAAATTATATAAATTGACAGATTGAAAGAAACTCAGTAGAGATTAGAAAGAGAAAGAGAGACCGGAGGAAGTGGGAAAGTGAAGAGAGACGTAGTTGTAGACGCTAACGAAGGAAGCCATTGCCAAGAAATCAAGCTTGAATAATTAACATTTATTGTTACAGATGATTAACTCTACTGACGAATTCTCTCATATGCTTTGTAAATCTACCAAGATTGGTAATAACATACTACTCAGCAGAACATTCATTATTCACCCATTAGTATTTAGCTCATAGTTACGATTGTGCAAAGCATATGATGAGGGAACGAAAAAACCAAAGTAGGTACCTGGCTAAACTAGAGAGTAGTGTTGTTAACATCCCTAAGAATATACTAACATTCGTTTAAAATGCGTTTATATAAGTACCAACACTACATGGCACTAATAATTATTGCTACGCATATGAGGATTAATCAACCCTTAATGGCACTAATAACGAACTTACATCTACATATTGAAGAGGATTGATATAATTGAGTGAAGTGTAATCACTAACAATTCACATTTAACATAATTTCAATTATGAAATCTACATCCCAGTTAAATAATAAATTCAGGGATTAAACTTAGTTACTATAATATGTTCACATATTATAAATTATACACCCAGGAATGTGAATGTACAAATCACATGAGAATTGACTTACCTAATAAGTGCACAGTAACCAATACCCAAAAAAATTATAATACGCAAACAGAAAAATCTAAACGAAAAAACCAAGGAGATGGGAAAAGGAGGATGAATCATTATTTAACTGAAGAATACAATTCATAGAACAATAATTAGTACATAAAATGAAAGCAGCAATGTAAAAGTCATGGCGCTACCTGGCTGAGGATGATAGCTTAATAGCACCAAGTTCCATTTTCAGTCAGAGTTTGAAAACTGAATTCAAGACTCTTCTAGGTTCCTAATAACAAACAAACATGGCGGACCAAATTAAAAACAGCTTTAAACCGAAAATTAAAATCTGAGTTGTTCTAGTTCTTATTGTAAGAATTCTCGTAACCCTGAACAAAAAGAAAGTTTACCGCAAGCTTCGAGCTAATCGGGGTCACATTCTCCTTGCTCTATAATCACACATCACAAAATTCGAAGTTGAAAACTTTTTGAAAATATATATAGCAACATGTCCTACCAACCTGACTTTAAAATACAACTTCACTAAAACTTTTAGATGGTTGTGGTTTCTTACATCATAAAAATGATATATAATGTAAACTAATGAACTTGATTCTCCGTGGAGGGGTATGTGTATCTTTTAGAACATCTATAGCTGACAAAAAGGAAAAGTACAAAGCCATTAAACAATTATGTACACCTAAACAATGGTCTAAAAATAAGCTAGCTTATATAGATGTTACCAGAATCTCAAAATGAACGACGGCCCGGAAATAGCCATACCCTATTGCGCCTCCTCGTTCCCAGTTTGTTCTGAAATGGGGTTTGACTTATAGTTTGCTCTGCAATGGGAGTTTGACTTATAGTTTGATCTGCAATGGGAGTTTGACTTATAGTTTGATCTACAATGGGAGTTTGAATCTTGACCGAATAAAATTATTGATGGAAATCGTTCTATTTATTAATGCTTGTTCAGAGATATAATCATACCAAACAGAAAGACTCAATCCATTGCTAACATCAGCAACCCTAATTTCCTACCAAAAAGAACTTAGCTCAATAGATTTCTTAGGAAACGATTCTTAGTCGCTGCGAACCACATACTATGCAACCGAAACAGAACCAGATTAAATAAGAGCACTTTGAGTAAAGAAAACAAAGTGAAATCTGTTTTCCATGCAAAGAATCTCTTCGCTCTCAGCTCAACACTTTTGATACGTTTTATTTAAAATGGGTTCTCGAATCAGTCATCTCACAAGGTATTCTAACTCTCTTTCATTTCACATAAACCAATCATACATTTAAAATAGGGCTTGAATAGCCTAATGTAAACCACGCGCAAAATGATTTTGAACTTGGTTTAGCAGCTGAGAAGAATTTGTGCCTCCAAATACTAATCCTTACCCATAACCTAGAGTTTAAAATTAGCATTTCGTGGCATTAGGATGTGAAAACTGAAGCGGCATGTGGCAGAAGTGGTACCAAATTACAATTCTAAATCTAGTAACAAAATCCGGTTGATAATTAACCCAGAATATAAAATCTAAATAAGTCAGAGCAAAAATTACCTACAGGAAACAGCTGCTTCCTCCCATCTCTGTATACTATTCTTCACACTCCTAAAGCTCCGACCTCCCTGTAAACAAATGTGAATGAGAAAAAATGGCAGAAAATGTGAAAAATGGTGGAAATTGTGAAATTATTATTCGGCCCTGGAACCATTTAGCTCCGTCAGCGACGGCTTGGCCGGCATGCTGGATGACGAAGTCGGCGTAGTTCCTGACGGTGAAGGTGAGGTTATTCTTGTTGCCAACCTCCACTGCCTTGCTCACCACCGATCACTACTACAAAAGGGGGTTATAGTGTCGGAGGGTGGTGTCGCTTTAATCTAATATAGTGGCGGATTAGGCAGTTGTGACACTAATTGAACATGACGTCGGATTTACTGTCGCTTATAAGCGTCATAAAATGTTTATGTCGCTTTTAAACTGACGTAAACATACATTTTAATAATTTTTAAATACTAGTGTCGCTTTTAAACCGACGTAAACATTATTTTAATAATTTTTAAATACTAGTGTCGCTTTTAAGCGACATAAAGTATTTTTTAAATACTAGTGTCGCTTTTAAGCAACATAAATTATATATATATATATATTAAATTAAATTTTATATCCCTAAAAACTATAATAATTATATAAATATATATATATATATATATTAAATTAAATTTTAAAAAATTGGTGATCATTGGATTGGCTTAAATATACATACGATTCAATTTCTTAAGTGTTATACATAAAAAATAAATAAATTTAAATCTACTTAATATATATATATATATACACACACACACCATTGAACTTGATTGAATACGAATTCTATGAGACTAATTTCGACAGTTATAAACAAAAAATCACGATTTAACGGTTATTTTAACTCCGATTTTGATGATTTTTTACAGCTACACTCCTTGACCCTATATGAATACAATGAATGGATTAGATCTTCAAATTAAAATATTTACATAAGTGGATACCAAAAAATCTTATGTTATACTTAATGAAAGTATAAATAAACTCTAATTGTTAGTCAATCTATTGTTTTGATGGGATACGAATTCTCCGAAACAAATTTCAACGATCCCAACCGTCAAACTTGTTTGCATATGCTTCGAGATCACATCAGCAAAAAATCACAAAAAACAAACATTCAGAGATCAAGTAACGCAACAAAGCTTTTCAACGGTTATAAACGAAAAATCACGATTTAACGGTTATTTTAACTCCGATTTTGATGATTTTTTTTACAGCTACACTCCTTGACCCTATATGAATACGATGCATGAATTCGATCTTCAAATTAAAATATTTACACAAGTGGATACCACAAAATCTTATGTTATACTTAATGAAAGTATAAATAAACTCTAAGTGTTAGTCAATCTATTGTTTTGATGGGATACGAATTCTCCGAAACAAATTTCAACGATCCCAACTGTCAAACTTGTTTGCATATGCTTCGAGATCACATCAGCAAAAAATCACAAAAAACAAACATTCAGAGATCAAGTAACGGGACAAAGCTTTTCAACGGTTATAAACGAAAAATCACGATTTAACGGTTATTTTAACTCCGATTTTGATGATTTTTTACAGCTACACTCCTTGACCCTATATGAATACGATGCATGAATTCGATCTTCAAATTAAAATATTTACACAAGTGGATACCACAAAATCTTATATTATACTTAATGAAAGTATAAATAAACTCTAAGTGTTAGTCAATCTATTGTTTTGATGGGATACAAATTCTCCGAAACTAATTTCAACGATCCCAACCGTCAAACTTGTTTGCATATGCTTCGAGATTACATCAGCAAAAAATCACAAAAAACAAACATTCAGAGATCAAGTAACGGGACAAAGCTTTTCGACGGTTATAAATGAAAAATCACGATTTAACGATTATTTTAACTCCGATTTTGATGATTTTTTACAGCTACTCCTTGACCGTATATGAATACAATGAATGAATTCGATCTTCAAATTAAAATATTTACACAAGTGGATACCACAAAATCTTATGTTATACTTAATGAAAGTATAAATAAACTCTAAGTGTTAGTCAATCTATTGTTTTGATGGGATACGAATTCTCCGAAACTAATTTCAACGATCCCAACCGTCAAACTTGTTTGCATATGCTTCGAGATTACATCAGCAAAAAATCACAAAAAACAAACATTCAGAGATCAAGTAACGGGACAAAGCTTTTCGACGATTATAAACGAAAAATCACGATTTAACGGTTATTTTAACTCCGATTTTGATGATTTTTTACAGCTACACTCCTTGACCCTATATGAATACAATGAATGAATTCGATCTTCAAATTAAAATATTTACACAAGTGGATACCACAAAATCTTATGTTATACTTAATGAAAGTATAAATAAACTCTAAGTGTTAGTCAATCTATTGTTTTGATGGGATACGAATTCTCCGAAACTAATTTCAATGATCCCAACCGTCAAACTTGTTTGCATATGCTTCGAGATCACATCAGCAAAAAATAAAAAAAAACAAACATTCAGAGATCAAGTAACAGGACAAAGCTTTCGACAGTTATAAACAAAAAATCACGATTTAACGGTTATTTTAACTCCGATTTTGATAATTTTTTACAGCTACACTCCTTGACCCTATATGAATACAATGAATGAATTCGATCTTCAATTTAAAATATTTACACAAGTGGATACCACATAATTTTATGTTATACTTAATAAAAGTATAAATAAACTCTAAGTGTTAGTCAATCTATTGTTTTGATGGGATACGAATTCTCCGAAACAAATTTCAACGATCCCAACCGTCAAACTTGTTTGCATATGCTTCAAGATCACATCAGCAAAAAATCACAAAAAACAAACATTCAGAGATCAAGTAACGGGACAAAGCTTTTCGACGGTTATAAACGAAAAATCATGATTTAACGGTTATTTTAACTCCGATTTTAATGATTTTTTACAGCTACACTCCTTGACATAGATTAGTAGTGTATGTATTATTTTTTTATTAGGCTCTTATATAAGATAAAATAACTGATTATATTTTAGGAGAAACTTAATATTAGTCCAATTTTATGAGCTATTATTAGTTATAATCCAATTTTGTTTAATTTTTGGGTTAGGTCTAGTGATTCATTGTCCACATAAGCTTATTTGTATTCTCTTGCCAAATTTACCCTTAAATTGACCAATGAAGTAATTACTGTTTTTTAAGTTTGTGATTAATGTTAATCTTATCCTTAATTATAGGATTAGGGATTTAAATCTCCTTTTTTTCTTCTTCTTCCCCAAACCGTTCATTCTCTTTTCTTTTTTAATTCTCTTTCTTGTTTCTTCCTCACAATATCTTTCTCTTCCTGCGTTATTTTGCCCAGTAATGTTCTTCCATAATATTTTTCTTTGCCCAGTAATGTTCTTCCATAATATTTTTCTTCTCCTCCTCCTTCCATAAGGATGATCAATATACATTTGATTGGTTTTTTTATTTTATTTTTTTTAAAGAAATTGCATTAGTCAATCTTGTGTTTTGGGTTCTTCGTCTCATTTTTTTTTTGGCTTCATTCTCCTTTTTATATTTTTTTGAACTTTGAAGTTCTATCGAATTAGCATTTTCTCTAGTGTTTCCTCCCTCAATATCATTTTTCTTCACGATTTTTTGTTTTGTTTGTATCTACCTATATCACTGGTCATTTTTTAAATCTTTTTATATTATACTGTGTGCATGTATCATGAATAATTGTATTTATCTACCTATATATAAAACATATTTTGTTGATAATCTATCTAAGATTAATTGTGTTATCTACCTATTTATCACAAATTAATTGTGTTATCTACCTATACAATATGTTTTTGTTCATAGTCTATATGTATCACAAATTATTTTGTATTATGTATCTATACAATAGGTTTTTGTTCATAGTCTACCTCTATCATAAATTCTACCTACATCACAAATTTTTTATTTATTTTTTATCTACCTCTGGCAATGTTTCTTTTGATTTTTTGATAAATTGGTAAGATTAGTAATAATGTGTTTTTAATTAGAAAACGGGTAGATAAAGGTATTTGAAGATTCAAATTTAAAAAATTCAAATTTAAAGAATTTTCCCGGTTTTTTTTTTGCACGGGGAAATGGGTTGGACGAGCTCTTGCAGACTGTGTCAGAGTTGGCGTCAGTTTTAACCGACGCAAACTCTCATTATTTCGACGCTACACAAATCTATCAAGCTAACGTCGGTTTTATCCGATTCAACCCTGTCAGTAAAAAAAATGTCAGACCTTTCAGTCAAAAGTGTGTCAGACCTAGTGTCGGTTTGAACCGACGCAAAGTCATCATATTTCGACGCAAGCAAATTTTATCATTTGTCAGATATTACGTCGGTTTTGACCAACGTAGGGTGTTCATTGTTCAACACAAGTTGTAGCTACTGTCGGTATTAACCGACACTAAGTTTTTATCCATATTTAAACCTCGTCTTTCCCAGTACTTCTGCACTTCCATTTCACTCTTATATTTCTCCTCTGGTTTACTCCTTCTCCTTCTCTTTCTCCCATGTCAGCCTTACTCTTTCCTCCATTTCAGCCATACCCCTGCCTCTCCAACTTCCAACTGCTGTGACTGTTAACCCCAAAACCCTAACTCCGCTATTTCTCCGCCCAGTGCTCCAATGGCCTCTCGCTGCAGATCTTTCTCGAAGCCGGCTTTCTCTCTTCTCAAATCTGCCGTCAACAAACCAGCGTTCAAGGCCACTCCCATGTCTTCTCTCCCCTCCACCCGCCTGTCAATCAATCTCTCAAGGTACGCAAAGCCCTTCAAGCCTGTAAAATTCTCAGTCTTTTGGGAAATTTTCAATTGGTCATTGTCGAATTTTTGGATTTCAGGTCGTTTTCTCAATTGGGTTTTTCCTCAAATAAGCAAAGCTCTTGACATTTTTTTCCGATATTTTTGAATTTCAGGCCGATTCCGCAGTTGGGTTGTCTACAATCTCTGCTTCCGTAGTGGCAAGAATTTGAATGTATTGTCCATTTTGAAGAATTGTATCTAATTTTAAATAAATGTGGAGGATGAATTTTTGTAAATTATATGGAATGTTAGATGTAAAACATTTGTATATTATGGCACTATTTTTCTTTTGAATTATTTTTATTATTGTTTGTTTTGGCCTAAAATTGAAATTTATTATTTCGATTATATAATTTTTTTGAGTTATAATTATTTGAGAACGAATACAGAAACAGATTTCGACTTTTTTTATATTATTATTATCAAAGGTGGTGTCGCTTTAAACCGTCACTAGTTTGCATATTTTATTTATTTAATTGTTCTCTAACGTCGCTTTAAACCGTCACTAGTTTGCATATTTTATTTATTTAATTGTTCTCTAACGTC